GCCAGAGGAAAGGCGAAGCATGGAATTGAATTTCGCTTCTGATGCTGTGGGGGGACGATTGGAAGCACCAGTCGGACGGATCAACCTCAGTCTGGCTGGGGCAACCAAGGTCCGTGCCCCAAAGTCCAACAGCCTTGGATTGCAGAGTTTTGGAGAGCCAATTCTAGTCTGTCGTCGGGCCGATCGCCAAGAACACCACGGAAGTGTTAGACTAGGACGGACGTCAATGCACGCCTAACGCGATGCAACAGCCAAGCGACGTAAAGAACACGCAAGACGCGATGACCAACCTGCCACAGGGCGGCATCACGTCTGGAATCCCAATGCAATACTGGCGGCTTCTGTCCAGCAGAGACTGTAAAGCTTCTATACAAGACAGTCTCACCACAGCATTACGTTGAGGACTGGCACTGCAGCCTTTCTTGAGTGAACTCGCTCGTTCCATCATCTTGCGTTTCAACAGTCCACCGGCCGCTTAGGGAAGCAATATGACTTGACGAAGTTCTGCCAGCTACGACCGCAAGACACGGAAGCTGGCAACCAGCGTCCCCCGGCAACGTTGCCGGCAGCGCGCGGTAGGAAGACGAGCAGAAGGCTCCAACCTGGCTGAAAGCTCACCAGCCAGGAGATTTGGAGCCCTTGCCCAGGTTTGACAGGAACTTGACGTTGACTTACATGATACTGGATACAGCGGGCAATGCTCGTTAATGAAGGACTTTAGGATGTGTTGAGAGCTCGAACAAAGCCAAAACACCCAGTCGGAGACGGTCAGGCGCTGCGGTGCATTCTTGGAATAAACCTGGCTGGGCGGGCAAACCACGTACACCACTCACGCCGCAGCGCAACATACCGTACTAAGATCGGAACCGGAACGAAGTCGAAGGAATGTCCACACAACTCGCAAGCCTTTGGAGATGCCGGGATCCGCATGATATCACATGATCCACGGAAACAGTCCCGAGCAAGCCGAGGCTGCTGCCGTCTTGCCGTCTTTGCTCCGCAACCAAGCTTGCAGACACTCCCTGACGCAGGAGGGATAAATGAGTCCGGTGTCCGAGCTGCCCGAGCTCCAGAGACGCAACCGCGCGAGGCACGCAAGCACGCCATTTCTTAGGCCAGGGCTCGTGAATCCACTTGATGCTGCCAGCACATCTGCACGGGCAGTAGAGCTTACCAGCCTGACG